CTCACCATTTGGTGTGGTCAGCCGAAGGGCACTGAGGGTGCAGTGCTCTCCCACAACACTTTCCCGGTAAATCGAGTTTTTTGGCATCAAATTGTTATTAATCAGCTCTCTATTTTTGTTGAAATGTATACTAGATCTGAGTAAATTACACACACAATTTTTTTTGTTTGATCATAATAATTGTGTGTACATTAAAAGTTGCACACATTGCATGTGCAATCCGAAGGTTACTTACTATTTAAGGAAATTAGGAGGCAAATTGCCTCCGAGGCGCGCAAGGGCACAGGCACAGGGCACACTTCTCGTGTATACTCCTGTGACACTATCCATGCGGCTCTGCACTGTTATACGATAGAATGCACACAGCATGGAAAACAAAGGAGTTGTACATGGATGTTGATGCATACTCGCCTACTATACAATTCACCCCGACCAAACACCTTAAACCCCTCTCCTAGGAGTATTCCGTCCCAGATGGCTTTGGGCATCCTTCCACGTGTTACTCAACTGCCATGCTTTGCCCATCAACTCCTCTATATTCCGATCACCCCAATCCTGCGTTGGAAGAGATTGCAAAAACATTAGCATGCCCTGATGTCACGTTGTAAGAAAATTTCAGAAACAATCGGGTAATCTTGCCTGGAAGTCCATCTCCAACAGTTGTCTACTCCATGTCAACAGGAACGCAGTGCACACAAACAGGTGAAACTGCGAAAACGCTTGACTGCCTTCACACTAACGAGTCATCGTCAGCTCCGAATCAGGGCCATCAGGGAGTTTAGGAACCAACCATGTAGGTATCCCACATTCGGATGGTGTTCTCCACGCTCAACTCCCGCATTAACAGACAGTTCATCCAACGAAACGCGAATTGCATGTATTCCACACCCTCATTTTGCAAGTGCTGGGAAAGCTGGCCTGCAGATTGCCTATTTGGTGGCACGTCGTGAATAACAATATTTGTGAACTTACGGTCTATCCGCCCAACCAACTCACTCATTTTGTTGAGAGAATTGACAATACCCGGTTGTCCATGTATATAGTTCATCTGGATGCCGTCGAGCAAATTTGATAGGCACCAGAAAGAATCCGCCTCCACTGCACTGAGCACGTCTTCGGGCAGCAATGAAGGAGAAAATGTTGCAGGATCCCCATCTATTTACATGTATCAGCACGTGCAGCATAAGTGGTCTCGTTTCACAGACCGATGTAAAACGAGAGGAATACTTGAAAAAAAGGTGTCACGAGATCATTGATGCCTTGTACATAACCAGATGCAGGATGTCGTATTGCCCAGAGATAAAGAATACGCTCGAGACACTGCATGACTTAGAACGCTGGTCTCATGCCGAGTCGCACATACCCTACCTTTTGTGTAATGGGATCTGCCCACAGGGGCACCCCAGGTCGTGTACGCGGGACGTCTATCACAATTTGATGCCAAATAAGTTGCTCTAATGGCTTTGAGAAGGTCAAGGTTGACATAGACAAATACTCCTGCCGCTTGGCATGCAGCTTCGTCACGCGCTGGGCGACCGGTAATGGTAAGTATGTCTGAACGCACATTGAATGTCAGATGGGATCATAGAAAAGGGGATATGACATACAAGTAGCAGCTGCCAAACTATGGGCCTCAAGTCGGCCGGAATACCTTGCCACGCCATCTGAGTGAGCTCGGCTACAGAAATCTTGGTTTAAAATAACACATCTGACAAACACGGATTGCTCACCCATATCGATGTCATCCTTCATGAGACAACGTACCAGCCGCTCACGGCGACGAGATGTGCGAGAACTCAGGCTACGCGTCAACTCTGAGGTGGATGCCAGGTTCAAGCCATTCGCAGAGAAAGTTTCGCGACCCATCGTTGGATACGTTGATGGTTGAGGACCAAACGTAGGCGGCGTATACGGCGTTGCTGGTGTTGGCGGGACCTGAACCACCCGTAGGATGGACAAAGGATCTGCAGGTCTATGCTTAGTGGCCCACTCAAAGAGCAAAGTGGTACATGCCCTTGATACGCTGTTGAACATCTACTTTCACCGCTTCTTTGCCGCTATGGAGGAGGATAGCTTTCGTGGACATTGGCCTCGCCTGACCTGCGGCTTCCAACTCCAAATCCCCCACGACCATCTCTGCCTCGACGTCGTCCAGTCGACTCTCTACCCGAGACGCCTCTGGCGAACTGCCCAAGCCCTCCGCTTCTGGGGATGACCTTGGAGAGTCTTCGTCGAGTTTCTCGATGGTCCGAATGCGCACCCACCCAGCCTGCTCTCGCTCTTTCATCAGCGCCTCAACATCATCATCTACTGCAGACTTATCCAGAGAAGGCGGATTTAGGTTACCGTGCGGTGACGGGTAGGAGGATGGCGATGGGGCCACAATATGCGTGAAGGAAAACGCATGATCTTGAGACTGAACAGATGTTCTTGATGAAGTACGGCCTCGGGCCCCAGGACGTGCGGGAATTGGGGTGGCCACTGGTCGGGATGACGTTGCTGCTTCAGATTTTGAGGGCTTTGCTGGCCTACGAGTTCCTGAAGGGCGCTCCGAAGAGGGAAGGGATGTCGTGCTGGCTAATGCTTTTCTGGGGAGAGATGCTACTGGAGATTGTTTTTGGAGTGACTCCGAATCGGAGGCCGAATCCCATGCATCGTCGTCCGCAGCCCAATCAGATTGCCAGTCGGAGAGAATTGTCGTTGATGGCCTGAGCAATATGTGTGGCCTCGCAGGAGGCGCAGCCATGAAAGGCGAATGTAAGCACAGCTGAAAAGGAGAGGAGTGCACCTGGTATCGCGCGTGCAAGGGTAAACCGCCGCCACCTGGTTGCTGGTGAACTCGCAAGCTCCCCAGGTTGTTAAAGGTAATGTTCAACATGGAGGGATGTGAGTTTCGACAAAGATCTTATGTATCCCATGTATCCTACGCTTCGTCGTCATCGGATAGAAGTTCGACAACTTCAGGGTCGCCAGTGTGAGCCGGGGCGCTCTCCTCCGCCAGCTGGTCCTCCTCCTCGTCCCCTTCTGCGTCACCATCCTCCCCATTATGTTCATCGCCCTCTTCCTCATAGGGACCGTCATCCTCTCGTTCATAATGCTCTTCACCTTCACCATCCTCATCCTCATACCCATACTCACCCTGGTCATACTCTATCTCATAATCTTCCTCTCCGTCTTCGCCATTTACATCATCCCCCTCGTATTGACTGTCGTGCTCATTTGTGCCCTCCTCATCTTCACCTCCTTGGGCGGGCCGGTTCTCCAGGCCTTCATCAGTCTTCGCCTCTTCAGCATCATGCGCAGCCAGCAGACCTGTTGTAATAGTCGTCGTTACGGCGTTTTCTGTCTTTTCAGCAACTGGTACTTCCTCAATGCTTGGGAAAGAATTTGGGGCCTTCTCAGGAAATTCATGCTGAGCACTGGGTGCAACATTCATCAGTGCTTCCACCGCTTGCTCCAGACTGTTCTTGAATGAGATCGCATCCTCCTCCGATTTGCAACGCATTTTAAAGGCGGATGGCTTGCCACTGTCAAGACCGGTAAAAGAAACAACCCTTTTCTCAACTGTCGCTTCAAGTGTATCATAGATGTAAAAGTTCTGCCTCAAGTCAGAACCTGGAATGCGCTGAGGTTGGGGGTAGCGTACGAGTTGGATGCGAGATGTACCCTCCTGTCGGAACAACAGCCGCTTCTTGGAGGTGTTTTTATCTTGCTTCAATCGGATTGCGCCAACACCTTTATCGCTCCATTCAGCACCTGTTCCATCCAACTTTTCTACGGATTGGTATAATTTGCAGCGCGTTTCATGGAGTGTAACCTCGTTCTCTTCCCCTTCTCCTTCCGGCTCGGGCGTAACGTCCCGGATACCGATGGCGGTTGACGCAGGCGAGGGTTTGAACAGAATCGTAGTAGCGTTACCATTGCATTGGATGTTGTCCTGGATAATGTTGCCTAGCTCTGGTGCTTTTGCAAATGAAAGTGGGCCGGTAGCGAACGAAAACCCGGTACTTGACGTCGTACCAGGTTTGCCGAAGCCAAAACCACTCGATCCTGTCAATGCACTGCCAAATAACGTTGCGGAAGCATCAGATGGCTTGGTTTGATGGGTCAGCATTGAAGGAGAAATGACAGCTTCGTCCTGATGAGAACTTGGTTCCATGCTTGCAAATGGGGACGGGGGCTTGAGAGAGATCCCCGAAAGGCCAAAAGAGGAAGTAGGGATTGAGGAGGCGGACATGATGGAATGACCGGCAAGGGAACTTGGAACCTTCGGTTTAACAGAATCGCCAAAAGATTCCATGAGAGCAGACCCCGAGGTTTCTTTGGAGAGCATAGTGGCTGGTTCCTGAGTTTTCTTCTGCTCGAACGACACAGTGGTTGTAGAGTTGGGGGGAGGAACTTTGTCGCCTTGTGAGCACATGGGTCGTTCAGCTGCAAGCGTCGACAATTTCACAGAACTGAACATGTTGACCGCACCGATAGGGGCAACGGGGGAGCTAAAGGAAGCTTTGAAAAGTGATGATGATTCAGCAGAAGATGGGGTAAACGAAGCCACCTTCCCCCCAAACACGGAAGTGGCCGATGGTGGCACCGTTGGGGGTGCAGTGCCTGTCAGCGTTGGTGTGTGAAGTTTCGTCGTCGGGGCGAGGGCTGCGGTGCTGGCTGTTTCCATTGCAACTACGTCCCACATACTGCTGATATCTTTGGGTCGGTACTTCGCATCGAGGACAGACCTATGAACGTCGTAGGTTGGGAGCAAAGTCCGGAAAGCGTCGGCCAAGTTCTGTAGAGGATCTGTCTTCAACAGTTCTTGCACGGCTCGCAATAAGGACACGTTAAGCCCTTGCCTCACAATGTCGTACTTTAGGGAAGCATCGCTCGTTTCAAATTCTTCGCGGGCCGCCCTGGTGGGCCAAGCAGGAGAACCAGGTCGATTCATCGAGTGTGAGACGTCCCTACTAGATTGGACAGCATCCTGTACCTCAAAACATGCCCTTGAGCCAGGATTGTAAGTATTTGGGGACCCCCGTACCGTGCGCATATCAACGAATGCTGGAGGTTCAACCAGGTTCGACGTAGTCGCCGGAACAGGGGGTAAGGGTGCAGCACCGAAGAGCGTTTGGGAGGGAGAATTTGTAGACTAAGCGCGTCTGTGAGGACCATCCGGAAGTGAGATTATCTCCACAAAATGCCCACCTGGGTCGCGCTTGGCAATATATGTGGTATTGCGCCTCTGCTGTCCACGCTGAGATTGATGGCACCAGGTAAAACAGGGATTTCCGTAGCCTGAAAACGCTTTGGGATACCTTTGATACTAATTTCTTGTCAGAATTGCGGCTTAGCAGTAGCGTTGCGGGCCTTACGGTCGATTTTGCAGGTCGCTCTGTTGAGCCCGTCGAAAGCTAGTGCCCGGATTCTGTTCACCCTCAGATGCCAGCTTATACTTATAAACTTTGGTCACTTACCTCCTCCTGATCTCCTTCATCATCCATATCATTCTGAGTGATCTGCTTGTCCGCACGACGTTTCATCTTGAGCTTGGATGGTGAAGGACAAGGCGGAACGTACGTGGGTGTGCACGAGTGGGGTGGCGCGTCAGATCCCGCAGGACGTGTCGGTTGGGTCAGTACATCAACCTGAACGACCATGTCGCAGACTTTGAACTTAGTGTGGACGATCCGAGCTTTCCACTATGCTAAAGTTCGACCTCATGAGAACAACAGCAAAGTCCCTCTGCAGAAAGGGCCATTTTACGTGCACTTCGAAAAGAACCAGTCTCTCAGCGACGCGACTGTCTCCTGCACCCTAAAAGTTGCCAAGAGCAGGAGCTCAGAATGTCCTGAAACGATCGTGCTTGATCTACCTCTCTATAGTACTTTGCCAAAGATCAATAGCATCCCTGCTGTGAACGCCCATCGTAAAGATAATATCGTCATTGTCACTCATCGAGACTTGAACAACTCGAGCACGGTTCAGGTAGGTCATCTGGCCCATCAGGAAGTCCGCGGTGAACAGAGGATTTAGGCATATTGTCGGCTTATGCTACTGCTAGCATCAGATACAGATGCTTGTGACTTGATCTCCCATGTGTCTTCTGTCTGCGACAGCCCGTCTACCGAGGCCCCTCTTCATAGGCGGACGGGCCCCCTCCCTACACTGGACCACGCCTCCACTCAAGGCCACCTATTTGGACAATGCACATCTCCGCTTCTATCATCTCAAATTGACATATTGGAACCCACCATCCAGGCAAATTCGTCCTCGGCATATGGAGCCGTGACTGAGGGTGGAAGTCAAGCTCGGAGAGATATTGAGTTTGGTCACATAAGACGACCTGCACACAAATCGTCTTTGATGGCCCAGCATATGAGCGCAACGAGGAGGCATGAGGTGAGAATGTTTCTTCAGCACTGTTGAGATCTAGACCATATATCTGATCCTGGGTAACTGACGGCCAGCTTGTAACCATCCAAAATGAGTCTCAAGAACCCGTGAACATATACGAAATCGAGTCGGAGGAACTGCAGCCCATTGTTGCCAGTATTGTCCGAGAAGAGGGATTTGCAGACTTAGTGAGTTTCTCTGTGACATTTTCCACGTATTGTCGTGAACGACCTTTCAGATGGATAAGATGAAGATGCTGTGCCATGCGCGCCTTGTGTAGGCCAGACCTTTCGAGTTATTCCATGCAAGATTGTAGAGGAATTTTTTTTGGTGGACTCCAACCAGAGGTCACCGGAAATGCGATTGATATTGTGTTGCGCACTCTGAAGGGTAATGAGGCGCAGTTCAGACACACTTACGTTACAAGTCATGTGCTGACTCGTTTTAAGAGTATAATCAGAGTCTCGGGAGTGTTCCGTTCTGATGTGCATAGTCCATTATTAAGAAAAGGAGGACTGAAAACATCAAGAGGCCCAGGAGTGGCTGACAAGAAGCTGAACCGACATGAGTGCTTGGTATCGGACCTCGGAATCTTCATGCGACATCAGTTCCATCACCCTTGTCTTCGCCCCCAGGTCTGTTATAATCCTAACAATGTTGTCAATGGTACAGTCAACAAACGCAAAAGAATCCGGACTTTTTCCCTCGCTCACAATACTTGACGTATTTACCAATGTCGTGCGCAGCAACCGCCAGCATGACAGGATCCGTCGAAGTGTTCAATAGGTCGACCAGCCTCCTAGGAAGATGGGTTTAGGGGTCACGTGTGCATGTCATTCATCTACGTACTTAAGCTGCTCACTGTCGTTCTCGTTCAGTCTACATGCGTTCTCCTTCCAGAACTCGTCGGAATCATGGACAGGCGTCCAGCCAAGATGACCAGAAACAAGTTCTGAGGCATACTCATCATAAGTGCTGGTAACCGTCAGCAGTTATCCCAGGAGACAGATCTCATTGTGCTTGACATACGTGAGACTCTCAAATTGAGCCTTTAGTTCATCCCTCAAGAATAACACATCTTCCTTGATATCCTCATCGGAAAACTTTCGTCCCGTCAAATTCTGCACAAAAGGAAGCAACTTGGCGACAAGCATAGCAGGCAAGTTCGCGTCTGGGGCCTTCACTACCAGATTCTGGAAAAAAAATCAGTCATGCCACTCAAAGACTGCTCCTCAACGCACCTTGAAGGTGGCAACGACTACGCGGATGACTTTCTCTTTTGCAGCAGTCTGTGCCACTTCAGTCAGGATTGGAATTACGTCATACTGCCTATCAATCCTGTCAGAAAGAATATCTCTAATGATAAAACGCACCTGTTGATCGCCGCAGCAACGCTGGGTTCAAAAGAAAGTAACCAAATGCAAAAGGTAATTTGGTATTGCATCTGTGCAGTCTTATTCGACTTCAATAGTTGCACCAAGCTGCACGCATGTAAGCAAACAAGGTTCCAAGGAAACAGAACCAAGTCGACCCCACCTCTGCATGATACTGGGAACATGCCACACTGCTAATCGAAATGCCGGAGTGGGAAGAGTAGCCTCAAGGCACTGCACGCCAACGTCTCGGCGTGCGATCGATGTATCTTTAATCAGGGACGAAATGAAATTAAGGAACGTGTTGATGTCCATTATCCCCGCGCTATCTTCTGAGGAACTTTTCCGGACCAAGCTGATGTGTCAGTAACGTACCAACCAAACCACGTTACACACCCACCCAAACAGAATTGATAGAACTTGGCAGGCTTTCAACTGCACGAATTCGTCTGGGGTGTCCAAGGATCTGATCCGGTCAAGGTCCGTGTCATGGACAATCCGAGACACACACCTTAGAAGTGGCCCATAGGGTAGTTCAGGGTCATCATGTGCTGCCCCTGTATACAGTCCTATCCTTTCTTCATGGTCTAATACTCGTCAATCTCACTTAACTACCTGCGGCATCGGGGAGCTCACCGATAAGGGAATCTCCAATGAGCACCAATATGTACTGCAGGACATCGACTCGAACGAGCTTCTTGAGCAGAGAGAGATAGAGAGCAGCGTATTGTGCACCCTCGTTGACCAAGATAGATTCAATCCTGCTCCTTGGCTGCCTGTCGACCTTCTTGATTGCAGCTAATTCAGCAGGCGTTATCAGCCCCGCACGTTGATAACCCTTGTATTGTTGTTCAGGACAGGTGAGCGTGTTGGAGAATGCCCATACCTCCCATGGAATAGGCTTGGAGCGCACTTTCGAAGATGATTCTTCAAGGTACGGGTTGACAATCAAAGACATTACTGTCGTGTGCACACGCAGCCAGGTCCGACTGGAACTGGTGTGAAGGACGAGGTGGCGGTAAAGCAATGCACGTGATAAACCAGTGGACGCGTTTGATGACGTGGAATGCGGGGTATGCTTAGGCTTCCGGAATCAAACCTAAAACATGTTATGGTGCATGACGTGAAAGAAACGGTACGCGACTTTTGCTGGGGCATAGACTTGGCCCTGACCGCACCGGACGGTAGAGGGAATGGATATATAGCCATGTCATGCAGGCAATAGGAATCATCGCCTTTGATCTCCAAGCTCTCCGGCCATAACCGCCCTCCCATCACACCTCCGAAACGCGACGACCGACCCTGTGCCTCTCAATACTCTCAAACACTCCGTAACGTCACAGCCCGTCTCCTGGCAGAAACATATTTAAGGAGAGACAAGTCCTACTTGGCATCTTCCAATAGTCTGCGCTCATCAAGCTCTCCGAATACCTCTCAAGCTCTCCGAATATCTCTCAAGCTCTCCAAATACCTCTCAAGCTCTCCAAATACCTCTCAAGCTCTCCAAATACCTCTCAAGCTCTCCGAATATCTCTCAAGCTCTCCGAATACCTCACCCCTTCACTTCCTACAATGTCTTACAGTTATTATCAGTCTTACCAACCTACGTACTGGGGAACTTCGCAGTATCAGTGAGTTCTTCAGCTTATTCTGGTATGTTGTCATTTCTCACAAGCCTTCCTCGCAGCTTCCCCAGCCCCCCATCAGTCTCATACGTCCCGCAAGCTGGCTGGACTTCACGTGACTTCTACAATGCACACTCTTCATGGGCGTTGGGGGGAAATGCGGACAGGCGAGTCCGGCTACTTGGAGGAGCTCATGCATCCTGACGTCTTTTGTAGCACCATCTTCGATTTCGTGTGGAGTAAAATGAAAAACATGGTTGGGCTCGCCGGTATGGGCCGAGAAGAAGCACGCTTCTGGCACCGGCAGGTTTACAGCGGCATGGTTAGCGTTCGCAGCCGTAACTCAGCACTTTTACTAAACCAGAGCGTTCCAGGTCAACCTGAATTCTGTCCTTCCCTCTGATATCGGAGGTGCGGCTGCGCACGAAGCGTTGCGATTTTTCGAGCACAATCACTTCTACAATCAGTCCAGGTATGATGTTGATCGAGAGCGCGAAGCTGTTATGGGTCTTGCAATTGCGGAAGGCATGTCTTTTATTCCACAACGCTAAAGATGTCAACTCATGTGACTTCAGCAACAAAGCTGTGGAGCTATACTGGTCGCCCGGCGGATCGATATGGACGGCTTGAAGCTTGCGAAATTGCCGCTGCGACAGCTCGTCGGCTCCTACGCAATCGGTACGACCCGCTTGGGTTCGGTCTACGACGCCAGAGAGGTTCTTTCTCTGGTATGTACGAGGATGATCTCGCTCTTCTCCACAACCCGATGCACCGACGACGATCCTCCTCTTCCTATCATTATCGTCCATCGGCACAGGCATTGATGTCGGCACGACCATATGTGGGCGGCTCAGCATTGTCCCTCACAATCCCATCAAATGCCTACAGCACATATGGGAATGGCTATGCGACAACCACTGGGGGCTTGATTGCGTGGCATTGATTGACCCTCTGCTAGAAACACCTATTCGTGACTTGCCACGCTGGTCGTCGTGAGTTCGGTAAGACTCGGACAATACCCACTGTGACCATTGTAGAAAATTGCAACAATCATCCTGTAGATTCCATAGACACATCGTGCTTTGATGCTGGCATCGCACGTAATGTACCATTAACGACGAAAAAAAAATATGATCGGGTCACGCCTCATCAGCCCGCGTGCGTCTTTTGTCAAGCTGTCTTGAGGACCACTCGCAGTCTTCCTACGGCATCGTCGACTGGCGTCCAATATCTCTTGATAGCCATGTGCGAAGCAACAAACTTGGGGGGCAAAAGATGATGGACATCATTCTGGGTGGATAGATGGGGAAAGTGTGACGTGAGGAAAGGATTGGCATTTGCGCGAGTGAGGGCATCCATGGCGCGTGAGGCTGCGCCGGATGCACCCGACATCGCTGAGATCGTTCTGACACGCGATGGAACGATAGAGGGGATCGACGGCGCTATGGAAGGCGCGGCCTCCCGTGCGGATGAATCATGTTTGGGAGAATCGGGCATATCGGACGCAGGTGAGTCAAGAACAGTTGGAGCGGTGACGACGGCTGATGCAAATGAGGGCGGCCTTATCAAGGACATGGGTCGCAATCGACTAGGGGTATGTGGCGAGCGTGGTGCATGGTAGAGGGCTTTGCTCGAGCTCGGCCCTGACGTGGACAGAGGCGGAAAGTCGGTTTGGATAGTGAGATTGTTCGGATCCGATAACGTCCTGTGCAAGGTGGGTGTCGAAGAACGGTTGTCGTCCACAGATATTCCTCCATAGCCCACTCGCATCGAGGGCGCCGCATGGGCATGAGGACCGATCCGGATCTCTGGACCATCATAATCGCCTTCCTCATCTTCGTCTGCCTTGACCGCAGCAGTTGCTTGGGTCGGACTGCTTGCGCCGCTCTCGGAGGTCCACTCCTCCTCTTCCACACCGCCTGTGACTGTGACGGTATCTTTAACCGCAGACTGACGTTCTGAAGCGCGCTTCGTGGAGAGACGCGATGAGGTTTTCGGCCCGCCCATTGACAGCGTGGAGCTGTGAGGTCGTAGCGATGCAACATCCTCCACACTTTTAATCCTCCGCTTTGACTTTTCTTCGGTAAGTGAGGTGACGTCACGGTGACCTTGCGCGACGGCGAGCGCAGATGCAAGCTTGGTAGATGACTGAGAGCGTGCGTGGACTCGGGAAGAAACCGGACGATGCCGAGCAGCAGCTCGTCGTGAAATGTTCGTTGTCGGCTGGCCGTGTCCTTGGGACATCGGAAGAGTAACTGTTGGACCCATATTGGACGTGTGCACAACCGACATGAAAGCTACATATGGGAGGGCACCGCCACACTTGCTGGGTACAGGGCCCTTAGAAGCACCCGCATGATTACACATCCACATGGGCCCCTAGGAGCACCGCCACATCCTGACTCCCAGGTGAGACATGCATGTCCCCGTCAATATTCATCAAATAAATACACCGAGCCGTGGTATGCCGGACCTGTTCTATTCAGAGTTCATACACCCTTCAAAAGGCTTGAATTATTTTTTGTAGATTTAAATGTACCTGAGACATTCCCCCTTCTATGCAACCCCTGGGTGAGACATGCATGTCATTTTCAAAATTCATCAAATAAATACACCAAGCCATGGTATGGCAGAGCTGTTCTATTCAGAGTTCATACACCAACATGCAATTTTCAATGCATGTGCTAAATGTGTTTGTTTCAGATGTGCAGCAACTTCACAGAACATTATTCTCAGATTGGGTTCAACTGTGACTAATTTGAATTGATACCCTTACTGTCAAAGACATGAGCAGACTTCAATCAGCAATTACTGAGATGCATTCATCTTAATCTCTGTGGTGCCTATGCTCCAGCTCTATACAACGCTGATGAATGATGTCCACTTGTAGCCTGTCAGGGCACCAGCTCATTGGTTGGTCAAGAGACATGACTAAGCCTTTATGACATGGAAGTAGCTGGTATACC